GGTGGGGCATCAGTGTCATGCATTGCAAGGGCGTGATTGAGGCAATGATGGTAGGTAGGGCAGGAGGGCAAGGAAGAAGGGGATTTTGATCGTGACGGAGAGCCAGACGGGAACTGAATCGGGAGGGAGGGAGAGAGGAGGGAGGAGAGACTTGAAAGTATAGGATAGGATAGGTATTGTATCGAATTCCCCCTTATAGCAGCCTCCTGAACAGAAGATGAGAAAGGAAAGGCAAGGGCAAAAGTGTAATTTTATCAGTAACAAAAATGGCCAAACAAAAACGATGCACTCCTCTTTATATATATATATATGTAGTAGACATTATGCAATTGAAAGTATATTGAGAACAACTACTATCACCTTTATTTATACTATATATGCTCTGCGGCATAGTATGCCATCCTGAGGGACTCCCTTATATATACGAGGCTGACCCTTCATACAAGGAAGCCCCATAAAGATAAGTGGGGCAATCGACAAAACAGAGGCAAAGGGGCTTCCAATTGTAGAAAAACCATTCTCAAAAAGCAGTGATCATCATCAATACTTCTAAAACACGAAATAATGAGAAAACAAACAGCAGTAGTGGAGTCATCATCCTTAAAAGCTGGCTCATGTGAAATTGTAAACTTCCGTCTCTTAGTCTTAGATGAAGTACCCTTCAATACTAAAATGAATCAAATCCTAAAAACTATTCATATTTAAAAAATAAATAAATAGATAGATAACACTTATTCCGTGTCACAACATATATCTAAGTGTATGTGTATAAGACTCATTAAGTGGCCGACCGTGAATGGTTAGACCAAAGTTGACATGATCAGTGAGTAATTTTTCTATTCTAAAGAGCTGTTGTAATGGTGATGATGATGGAGACTAGCTGCTGTGATTAATTATGGATCTCATGATAAAATAAACCCAACACTTGCAATTTAAAATTAGGGCAAAGCATATAATTCTATGCCCACTTAGAGTGGTAATCAAGGCAGCTTATATGGCTCCACACAAACAACACACAGAGAGACCCAGATGGAAAAAGTCCATACCTTTCATTATTATTAATTAAAAAAGTAGAGAAAACTTTGCCAAAAACTTTAAATATATATATATAATAAAAAGAGAAGAAGAGAAAGAAAAAGGGAAAATAAAAGAAACTTGAAGAGAAAAGCGTTAGGAAGGTGAGGTTGGACTAAAGACCCTCAACTTTTCCTCAGAAGCCTCAGCAAGTCTATATAAGGTGACTTTGTATTATTAGGCTTAAAAGTAGATTATGTTTAAAGGTACTTGGTTGGTACTATGTTAGGTAAGGTAAAGGTGATATTTTTGGAAAGGGAGAATCCTCCACAATCCCATTCCGACTATATGAGCTATTCATTTTGTTAGACTCAGTGTGCAGATCATTCATGAAAAAAAGAACGACGATTTGACAATCATAGCCATGTGAGCTTATTGAAATTGGGTTCAATTTTTTGAAGGCACATAATGAAATCGTGTGGCTTTGAATATCAAATCAATCTTATTTTTTTCATAATAATTTACATAGAACAACTTGCAAAATGAACAGCTTAAAGGTATATAGAACGAATGGTAGGAAAGGAAGGAGATAATATTGAAACACAAACCTAAAAATGGCTGGTCTTCTGTTTTCTGTGACAGTTTCTTTAAGGTGTAGAGACTGTTTAAACATTGTGAAGATGGAAAACCTCCAACCAAACATTTGTTTCATGAATGGAATGTTCACTTTAGAACACAAGAATATATATACTATTGTCAAGAGATTTTAAAGTAAAATATAATTTTTTTTTTTTTTTTTGAACAACATTGTCAAGAGATTCATTACCTTCTGATTCACTTTATCAGACTAATGGATGTGTACTAGGATAATACTTAAGTGCTTGAAACTGTATAAAAAGTGGCCAGGATGTGTTTTGTGCAGTTGTAGTAAGTTTTTCAAGTCACCATATATTGGTTCCAAGTTTCCACCATTGAGTGAAAACAAGTCGAGTAACTGAATAGTGAGTTGTTCAAACTTGATTTTAAACTAAACGAGCTACAAAAATATCTCAAACGACCTTTAGGTTGAACCAAGCCAAGTAGTTTGAATTTTTTTTTTGGTACAATTCTATCATGTATACAAACTTATTGAGCGAAGTTTGGTTTAAACTCAGAAAATTAGTCAAAGTCATAAAATTAATGAGTTTCAAAATTTGTTCAAACTCAACTTGTTTACATTATAAGCCAATTTGGAACAAATTTTTATCGAGGTTTTACTCTCTTTTTTTTTTTCTTTTTCCTTTCGTAGAAGAGGAAAGAACGTTGATATTCACACAAGGCTAGCCCAAATAACCATCCAAAATCTCATTTTTCTATTTTAGCTAACCACTTCTCTTCAATATACAATCCAACAAAGCTCCCTACTTTAAAATATTTTCTCCTATTCTTTCTTTCTTCAAATACTACAATATTTATCTAACAGTCATATTTTTTCTAACAATTATATCTTTCCGAAGTCAAATTTTCCGAATGGTCACATTTTCTCAATTGTAAATATTTTCCCAACAATCATATCTTAAATCTATTAAATGAATGAGAATGCACAAAAGAGAGAGAAATGTTGGAGACTGAAATTGACAAAAACAAATAGAACACAAAATAGGTAAAGAACACAAACAATCAACACAAGGAATAGTCAGTTGAAAAGGGTTTGACATATACTTCGAAAAAACAGGCAAATGTATTATTGTCTAAAATCCATGTACAAAAACAGAGCATTTGCATTGGTGGAAGCAAATATTTGGCATTATTTTTGTTTAATGTTCGCAAAAAAGAAAGCTTGCTTAGCAAACTGTTTTCAGAAAAGTTTACTAAAAACACTTTTTTTAGGAAACACTTCTAAATTGTTTTCTGAATTTTCAAATATTATTTTTGCACAAAAACAAAAATATATAAAAACAATGGCTGCATCCGAGCTTTGCATTTTTTTTGTTTCCAAAAACATGAAAAACAAAACCAAAAACTTTGAAAACAATATCAAACAGGGCCTAATTACTCAGCCTACCAGTTTGAACCTATACAGCTGAGTTTTATAATATTCAAAATTCAGGATTTGGACTAGGTAAAAAGGCACTGAAGAAATGGTCAAAAGGAAAAATGGGTCAAAAATAGTGAGAAAGCCACCTTCGAGGAATCTGGTACAAGGTTAAAAAAGAGTACAATGGCCCAAATAAGTAGTTCTAATTCTTCATGCTTTTTGCACCTCCTTTCGTATCAACATAAAAAACATACACTTCTAAGAAGCCGACGTATCATGTCAGGCACCGATACGACACAACATTCATCGACACTTCCCAACACCTATCAAATACACGTCCAAACATGTTATATTATTTTTAAAAAATTTCTAGACTCGGACATACTTCACACACTAGAAGAACAAGTGTCTTCTGTTTAGACACATAAAACCCGATACAAATTTGAATAAATTAACTTAAAATCCAATGATAAAATAAAAACAACGTAAATATATATATATATATATATATATATATATATATTCTCCTTCTTTAAAAAAATTTATTATCTTTAAATTAAATATTTATATGTATGATATATAATAATTACTTATTCTTATATATTCTATATAATAAATAAATAAAATTATATACTTTGTTATTGTCCATGGCATGTCATATATTTTTTCAAAATTTTCGTAGAAAGTTTATCGTGTCACGTTTCCGTGCTTTTCTTAGATATCAAGATGTGCTTTTCTTAGATAGCAAGACGTGCTGGTCTGCTTTAACCGGAGCAAAGTCAATCCAAAGTGGAATGCAAACAAAGCCCACCTTTGGGACGACTAATAGAATTACTATGACCCACCACCAATATTGCAGCATGATACGGTATAATTGAAAAGAGAATTACAGGTTGACTAGCAAAATACAGTCCAACCCAGAATAATGCTAGGACCGTAGATAGTGCCTCCACAACTAGTGGTATCCACTTTTGTTTATATAAAATTAAACTAATGCTAATATTACCCGTTTAAATTTAAATATGCTGACATACATTTTAACACACTCCAATCTACAATTCATAGTGGCCTCTATGTTACCAGAAAACGTTAACACCTTAATGAATTACGTATTAGTACGCACGTTCCGAAACATGACACACTAATGTTCCAAAACAGTAAATTTAGGTATCCAAAATGATCCAAAAAAAAAAAAATTCTATACATTTCCTTAAATTACTTTAGGAGAAAAAAAAATCAAATATATGAACTAAAATCCAAAGTGAGTTAAGTTTTAACAAGACAAAAATCAACGATGGGTCATAATTTTCATAGAACTGATTTGCTACATGAAAAAAAATATATATATATATATTATTGGATATCTAATAGTTAAAATAAAACTATTCTAAAAGTACCTTAAATTCTAAATTTTCTATCACACTACATTTTAAAGCATGTGACATGCCACATTCCCGTTCCCGTTTCATGTACGGGGACAATTCACGTTTCAGGTAACATAGAGTGGCCTAGTGGAGTATAAATCTTCTGATTGCATATGAATCCACTTTAAGTTAGTCTAATTCTTTTTATATTTAATACCCAAAATTAACCCTCAAAGCCATTGTAGGATAGTGAATTAGTGGAGCAGCTTCATCAGCCACAATGGAAAGTTTATCAGTCAAGTCAAGCCATTGCCTTGAATTTCAATGGGTTTTTGATGAGCCCGCAGCATCAGAGAAATCTGAAATCCAAGCCTGAGCTTGGAAGCAAGACAACCTTTAAAATATATAGGCATGTATAAAAGTTGTTTGGTAATAGTTTATCTAACAGTAATATAACGGTCAAACTTTGATCTGAAATTCTCTTCAAAATCTATGGCAAAAGGTTCAAGTTATGAAGACAATTAGACAATACCATATCTCACTCTGTGTGTGTGTGTGTGTGAGAGAGAGAGAGAGAGAGAGAGAGAGAAGGAAAAGACCCGTGATCCTTCTTGCGATTGGAAAATTTCATTATGTTACTTTAGATTTAAATACAAAAATTTCGCAGGTCTGCAGAACCATTCACTTTACATTAAGGGACAAAAAAGGAAAAAAATTGACAAAAACTTCAAGCAAGCATGTTAAATAAAGATCATCTCTGAAGAGATTTGGGTTATTTACCTCTCCAGAAGCATTACCAGTTCACAGTGTGGAGTATGAGGGAAAAGATCAACTGCCATCGCTTTCATGGGTTGGAAAGGCTCTGAGTTGGGCATTGATTTAGCCCTATGCCGTGCCAAACTAGCACTGCTCATGTTCCTCCATCCCCAGTTGTTCTTGTTCCCTTTCCCAGTTTTATCAGCAGATGGTGTGCAGAGCTCAATAGCATTTGCCATTAAGCTTTCGGGATTACAGGAAATGTAACTGAAGAAGAGAAATAGAACGAAATTAAAATTCTAGTACAGACAAATACTCACAAAGAAAAAGAACACAACTAATTCAGTATTGTGACTAACACAAGCCTCCTTAAACGTGGATGAGTTCTCAGCACTTTGATCACCTACATTATCACAAAACAAGAATAAATATAACCAGTTAATGCTTTTGGAGTCAAAGAAACACAAATCCAAGAATTAAAGAAAAAAACTTGTATCCAAAGAGTATTTTTACAGCACCAAGGTCGCCATACAAGTGAATTGCCAGATCAGGTCCTAAAAACCAACAAGATCCACTTTGAAATATTAATTCTGAAATGACTAGCATCAGACATTTTACTTGGAAGAGAGTAATTTTGCGTCAAGTGTAGACACATTCCCAATCGGATGACATACTCGAGAAGTATTTCACTACGCAAAATTTTGGAATAGAAAATTTCAACAGTTACTCATCCACTTCATTGTTATAGCAATAATGCTCTACACTTACAATCTTTACATACCACATCTAGTGTACCTTCTCATGTGGCACATCTATAACCGTTAGATATTAGTGAAGTTTATGTGGGACCCAATGCATTGATGTTTGTGAATGTACCACATGAGATAAATGTGGTATATAAATATGTTAGCAACTCTTGTTATAGTGCTCAGAAAGCATCTTCTATGTCACAGGTTCAGATGCAAGATGTTGCCTTTAGAAAATGAGGGGAAAAATATCATGCAATTCTGTTGAATGTGGCTTGCAACCAATGTTGCAATGTCCATATGCTATGACTATTTAACTAGCTGCAAACACGAAGATAACACTGGCATACAAGCCCAACCTGACAAGACAGGCAATTTAAATGTTTTTCATCATTGAAATTTATCTAGAGCCAATGCCCTCCATTAAACCATACATGTGTTTACTCTCTCACCTAAACTATGTCTTTTGGCCTTTACTTAATCCCTTTAACACCTTCAACTTAAACCAAAGTTACCAAATAGGCGGCAACATACGTTTGTAGATAAATATGTTGGTGATTGCTAGTGCATGACAATGGTAGTTGTAGAAGTAATAGTTAGGCAATTTTGGCAATGATGATGTGAGGAATACAGAAGGAGCAGTAAGTGTATTTTCCTAATAGGTGGTTTTGCTATTGACAGATTAAAGTAGCTACATATAGAGTAAGCTCTGCTTTAAATTGTTGAACATAACTCATTAATAGTTGTAAGCCTATTTTGAACTAAACAAAATCATTTTAATGACAAGAACTGCTTGTTTTCCAGTTGAGACAATGAAGTTCTGATGTGAATTGCCATCAAGAACTCCACAAGTTCAAAAGACAACTATTAACCTAGGGTTGTCTAGAAACTAACAGTCTGCCTAAGGAAACCTCTACAGTTTAAGATAAAGATTTACTTCAATTATCAACCAGAGACATTCTTTGCAATAAGAAACTGGACCTTTTTTTTTATGCTTAATTGATAGATAAAATATCAGAATTGAGAAATTTGCCAAAGGATTGCTCTATATATCACTGCACATAATACAATATAAAAGAGCATGTCACTTACAGTTGGATGAAGTCCAACACGTGGAGGATCAACAATGGCAACAACATTTTTGAATTGATGTGTTAAAGTATTATTTTCTGAAGTACAACTGTTCTGAGGTTGGTTGTCAAGTCCTGGCCTGCTAACACACCCAGATTCACTTTTACCATTTTCAAGCTCAAGGCTTGCACTGTCTTCAGAGTCTGGTGTATTGTCCAAGGAGGTACCTTTCTCTTCAATGTAAACTGGTTCTTCATTGTTTTTTTCAGAGGAATTTGCAATCTCATCTTGTTTCTGAGGCAAATTTAGGTACTCCTTTAAAAGAGATCCCATGACATTCTCAGCCTGTAACCTCATTGATTGCACAATGACCAAAAAAAAAAAGAAGATATTTTGAGTAAAACATCATAAACTCAACAAAATCAGAGAAACTAGACTTCATAAACCACGGATTTGTTTTAATGCTTCAGGCATTGTCATGATTCAACCAATTCAAATTGCAAAATTTATAAATAAATAAAATAAATAAAATAAAATAAAAAACTGAGAGAGAAATTTTAGATCTCACCTTTGCACAAACAAATCTGCAGTTTTTTATGCCATTAATTTCAGCATTCCTCTCAGCATCCAAGACTGCAGACGCATTCATTTCAATGCCAACCACCTAAAAAGATTTGAAAGCCAAAGACAAATTACAAGAGCAAAAGAGAGAATTGCACTTTGCATATGGATATATATAGCGGAATAAAAATGGACTGGAAAGGCAAGAGGAAGATAAGTCTCCTGAAATACTTCTAAATATCTTTCTTAAAAAATAAACCTTCCAGCATCATGATCTCTCCATTTCCGTTTTTGTATATTTTTAAACATGGCAGAGGCAAAATCATTGAGGGCCATCACATACCTTTTGAAACAAGTGAATCAAAGCATCCTTGAATCAGATTGATGAAAATTACCTTACCAACACGGTGAGCTAAGGTTAGGCCAATTGTTCCAGTCCCACAGCATATATCAAAAAGCAAGGTATCAGTTCCTAAGCCAGCCCAATCCCCAGCCAGTGAATATAGCTTCTCTGCAGCAAGAGTGTTCACCTGCAGTATAGTAAAATTTGAGAATTTTTCAGTCGCACTAGAAAAAGTTTGGAGAGAGATGGATAGAGAGGACGGTAAAGGTCCTTACTTGAAAGAAAGCTGTTGGGGATATACAGAACCGAAGATTGCTTATATAATCATGAATCCTCGCTTCTACACCATCAATTGCTACCTCATGTCTGGAGTCACTTTCTGCTTTAGGAATAGGAATTGAGCGCAATGGAGCATCAGCTGGTGCTGCATTTGATATTCCCTGGTGATCCTGCATAGAACAAATCACCAAACAGACAATCAGAGAGAGAGAGAGAACAAAAAAGAAAAGTTAAGGCATATCTGAAATAAAAAGACTAAAGTTCGTCAATGAAAACAAATGAGCATTTTCTAGTTTCCTCAACCCCATAAGGGGTTCACAAATTTGGCCAAAATATACAGACTTAATAAAAATGTATGTGATATAATTAAAAAGTTAGTACTTTGGAGGATAATTCCAGGAGACTACCAAGAAGCATTGTGGAGCCAGTAATCCTAATCATTCATGACAACTTTCTTCATCCTGCTTTACATTCAACATCCATACTGCAGCAGGACCATGCAATCTTGATATGATGTGTTTCTGTTCTGAGCAAATTAAGCATCACAAATTCTATCATGTCTTCCCTGGCTCTTCAAGTTTCCTAAAGTAAATTGAAAGTAAATTTTTTTAAAGATAATGGTGACTAATCCCTTTATTTCCCTCACATATTAACCAGTGAATTTATGTGAGCCTTTCTGCATCCTACTACACTCAATTATCCATCTATCTATTAAATATACTAATCTGTGGTTTTGCTACGTCATTCCAACCATCCTGATTCCGCTTAACATATGGTGAGAAATATCACATTTAGGCACATCTGGCATAAGAGATTGCACACCAATCAAATAATGGTTCCACCATACATGTACATTTATTTTTCCATTCAAAAGCTGCAACAAGAATCCAACAAACAGCTAAGGTTTGTTCATTCTCCTTAGCTAAATCTCAAAGACATCATATGTGCCTGCTATTCATACATCAAGTCATAATAGTTGCCCCAACTTTCAATTGCATGCTGGGTCTTTAAAATCTCAGGTTTTCATGAATCCTGGTAACAGACAGATTATAGAGTACAACTGCCCATCTAATAAAACAGCTGAATATGAACACACAGGTAGCATGAAACTTAAAACCCAACCCCAGAACCCAAGAGCAAGTTTATCACATGTACAGAAATAATGTTTTATTCATGAACTGTTAGTCTGTTAGCTATCATTGATCCTGAGTCTTGAGGAAGTATATTCCCTATTTCTGGAGTTTGTGATGTCACTGAGGAAGTATATTCCCTCTAATTGATAATTATAAGAATTAGTCCAAATTTCTAACACTAATCAACCCCACAAAGACGAAAGATCCAAACCTTACTTCCACTTGCAAAGCATTTCAATATTAAAAAAGACTATTAGTCTAGCAAAAACCCTAACATCACAGAGAAGCAAGCAGAGCTCTCTACATATGCCTGACAGTAAAACAAACCTACAGAAATTTACGAGAATGTAAAAGCCAATAATTTGCTTATAGGTTAATATTTATAATCGTCTCGTATGTAATGTATATTGTACAATAATAGGAGCAACTAGAAAAAGCAAATTCGTAACAATGCAATTAGCTAAAAATGTTGGCTTGCATACTAATTTATTTGCTCTTTCCAGCTGCTGCTAACACATGTACCTATATGCAATGAAGAAATTAAAATATCAGACCCAAACAGGTACATGTACTTAGAGTTAGCACCTGAACTACCAATGATGTTAGAGGCAAAGGAGAATCAGCAGAAGGTCCCACAGCAAATGCTTGAGCCATCCTCTCAAATTCACTGTTTACTAACTCATCATCAAAGTGCAATGTGCAAACCTAAGTATTCAAGAATAGAAACCAAAATCAAAATAAATATAAAACTTTGAGAAGAAGGTTCAGTGGTGGTTTAATGTGCAATTGGTTGGTCAATCACTCATCAGGGTTCATCTTACATAAAGAAAAGGCTGTTAACATACTATCTCAAGCCCCAACCCAAGTACCAGAAAAGTTTATTCAGCTTTTGTTTCCTATTTTTTTATTTCATAGTTACCAATATGAGAAATGGAAGCAAGAAACAATATGGTAAAAGGAAACATGAAACATGACCCAAAAATATTATAGAAAACGGAAAACATTAGGTTATAATTGAATTTGTATTTGTAAGAAATTGAGTATTTTAAAAATAGCCATATAAAGTTATAGAATACTTTCATGATCAATTAAAATGCTAATGCTAAACTTATTAGAACAATTACATATTATTTTGTTATAAAAACAAGACTTGAGAGAATGAAAAATTTGTAAAAATTGCGAGAAGCATGTTTGTAGGGGGGATTCTACAACATTTTTCAAAAGTTCATGACAAGATTCTCTGAATAAGAGTTTCTAAAACGTTTTGAAAACAGCTTTCCTTTTCACCAGCCAAATATAATTATGAAAGATAAGGAGCTTTGAAAAGCAAATTAAAGTGATTTTCACCTGGACAATGAGCATAACCTCTGAAATAACCTCAGCAACCTTGCCTGGAGACCGTCCTTCTCGAACCTAATAAAAGATATCATAATAGAGAATGAAAATTGAAGAAACAGAACTGCATATGTTTCAGTCTCATCAAGAAGCATATGAAACAAACTCAAAAATTTAAACCACTCAGTCCAAGTACTGTATTAGAAGTCATATAGCACTGATGGCAGAAGACAATAATAGCTGTTGATAAGTGAAAATTACTGTTAACTGGCGCCAGAATCCAGAATTATTAAATCTGTTCCAAATCGGTAAGCCTGAACTTTGTAGAAACTCTTGAAATATTGCAGCATATTTACAAGCAACTGTGGAAACATTTGGGCAGTTCGTAGGTTCTTCAACAGCTGTCACACCCTCCCTGAAATAAATAATTCTTCTTTATGATAAACAAGAGAAAAATGTAACGAAGTGAATCCCAAAAGATAAATTCAATAACTACCTGAAGTTCCCAAGCATAAACCCCACAGTTGGTTTTCCCTGTACAGAATATCCAACCGAAAATTCACACTTGTTACGGTATCCATTTACAAGTGGTGATTCGACTATACCCTCTAGTTTGCATGGAAGACCCCCTGTTTCAAAATACAATCAGAGGATAGCATCTGAAACTATAATAAAAATAAAGAGCACAGTTTGCATCTCCATAGAGCAATGAAGAGTGTTCCAATCACATGAGCTCAACCTCCCTCCCACCAAAGTCAAAATATTATTCCATCTATCCCGTTTTATGTGTATTACTTGACTATATGCACAAAGTTTAAAGAAGGATTTTTTAATGATGAATTTATGTTGCTTGTCTCATTTGAATAATTTGTTTGGGAATTGTGATTGTATGGAAATATAAATGTAAATGTGTAACATGGGAAAGTGACAAATAAAATTTTGAACTTTCCAAACTAAGACCCGTTAAATGGGACTTCTAGGGGAAAAAAAAATTAAGACATATAAAATGGGAGGTATGGAGTATCAAAAAATTACGGACATTTGGAAGACAATCATTTTCGAGTGGTTAGCGAAAATAAGGACATTACCTATTTCCCTGGATCTAAGAATCCACTCTGGAAGTGAAACACCCTTTGGGCAAGCTTTACGTGCATTGCGAGTCTGCAGATAGCACAACAGAAAATGAGACAACAGCTCATTTGTGAAATATTAACTCATAATCATCTCATACTAGTGAAAACTGACAAGTGTTTCAAAAAGTAATATATATTTAGCACCTACACGGATTGTGTTATTAAAATAAAAGAAAGAGGAAAAAGAAACAAGGATGAGCAGTTCTAACAAGTCTTTTGAGAATTTGAGTGAGATTATTCTTCTTGTGCTCCAGCTGATCAACGTAAGGCATATGTGCAAGTGGAGTCACTACATCACGGACACTTCTTGCCTTTGAAGCTGAATAATCAAGTGTGACAATATCATCACTTGTATCACCATCTTCGCACCCATTTGAAGATGTAGATACCTCATTATTGTCACCAACTAATGCTGGCTTTATAGTTTGTTGGGAACTTTGAGGGGTAGGCACTGCGAATTTAGTTTTGTTATCAAATGATCGGGGAACAACATCTACAACCTTTAAATTCTGGTTGCCAACACATCTTCCATCCAGCTCCTGTCACAATGAGATTTAAGAATCCAAGCTAGTAAAGTTATTGCAAGTATTTCAGGAACTCATTATTTCATATGTGGAATGCAGGGTACCTCCATTGCTCTTTTCACTTGTTCTTCATTTTCAAAATTCACGAAACCTGCTTTCATGCCTTTCTTTTTCTTTGCTGATTTATATACAATTCCCTGGGAGAAAAACAACTTCATAAACTTACAAAATAAAAACGCCTCTAAGCCCTCATCTACATCATTTTATTTTATTTTATTTGATAAATTAAGCCCTCATCTACGTCATATCAAAAGCTCGTGAGGAAAAATAATTGGAAGCAAGATATTTCCCACAAATACAGCCAAACTTATGACAAACACATCCAGAACAAAACATTCATCGAATCATCAAAACATCAGTGAGTCAAACTGTATCCTTTGAACCATTGGTACTAGATAATTACATGGCTGGAGCTAAAGAAGACCAGATCATTTTAGTTAGCCAATTTGTTTACAGTTCAAAAAACATATATTTACATTTAACTAGGGTGACTTCAATACCTCCTTGCATCCATTTTAGGACTCTTACACTGACAGTGACAAGTTTAAACTGTTACCATTAGTTATCACCTAGATTCTAGCATTTTACACAAATACAAAGGTTTCAGCTTTGACAATATATTTGCATTGGCACTTCAATACCTCCTTGCATCCATTTTAGGAATCTTACACTAACAGCTACAATTTTAAACTGTAAATTCTAGCATCTTAAACAAATACCATGGTTTCGACTTTGACTCCATATTCTTCTAATTCAATGCGATGTTGAGCATATCTTACTATATAATCCAAAACCAGATAAATTAGTCAGAAAAAATCAAAATTTCTCTCAGTTTCCCAAATTTTCTCACCAATCAAACAACCTACATTTACAGAACAACTAAAAAATCACCTGTTCGCGGAGAAAATTTCGCATATTGTCCGAAGTCCACCGCATGGGGAGATTCACCATGCACTTGGAGAGAGCGGGGTCCGAAGAATCGCCGTCGAGAGCGTCCGTCATCAGAACATCACATTCAACCTCAACTGGCTTCGATTTCTCTCCATTCTCGGTCTTCAACACCTTCTTGGCCCGCTCGGAGCTCGGGTCCCACGTGTTGTCGGGTCGGATTCGGAGCTCCTCCTCGCTGTGGGCATACCGGCAAGCATCGCCGTGGCTGCACAACCCGCTCGATCGCCGGAAGTAGGAGCAGAGGCTCGTCTTCCATAAAGGGTGCACAGCTTGTTCTTCTTCTTCGGCTCTCTTTCGCTTCTCGACTGGTTCGAGTGAGACAGTTGGTTGAGGATGGGACGGCTCTGATTGTTCTGGGGGAATTTGATGGGGTTGTTCGGTGGAATCGTGGCCGTTGGATTGTTCAACGGAGGGGATTAGGGTTTCGGTAGGAAGGGTTTGGTTATCTGAAGATGCCGCCATTGATGAACACTTCCCTGAGTTGGGTTTCGTTAGTTGTCTGTGCGGTTTCCGTTGATTTCGTAGGCTTTCGTTAGTGCTTATGTTTGGGGTGAGGGGTGGGTAACGTGAGGTGAGGCCATTGACAGCACTGGTGCATTTCCCCTAAACGACGTAGTTTTACAAATATTTTCTCACGTCTACCTCGTTGTATGTTCTTAGGACAAAGACACTGCTTTTGGCTTATTTAAACAAAGGTGTTTTTTATTGTAATTTAAAAAAATTAAATTAACTCATACCTAATCGCCAAATGGGACTACATCATTTCAAATCTAACTCATATCTAAGTCCATATTTCATAAAAAGTCAAAAAATATACTTATTTATATTATCCCAAACCACTCCAAAATATGTTAATTCCATTTTATGTCAATTGTCAATGCCAAATCCATTTTATAACATAGTTTTTGTAATTATTATATGAAAAATGATATAAGACAAAAAAATGAATGACACTCGATTCAAAAGTCCATTTTATAAAATTATATGATAATAAATTCAGATATTAAAATGTTTATAAAGACATGTGGTCGCAAAAAGACCAAAATACCTATATGTATATATAGGGTACCATAAACACTCCATTTTGATCGGCCTTAGGGCTTGGACGCTTTCTTTTAATTATCCAATGATGAAAATCATAATGTAATTCTCACAAAATTCTCAGAAAGAAAGATAGAATTTGTGCTTCATTTCCAAACCTAAGCATGTTTTGGCCAGGTGTTTAAATCCTATTCAAAACTCCCTACTTTCTTTGTAACGCCCTCAAAAAGTACAATAAATATAACCCAAAGCATATATAAATGATAGCATAAACTAAAGTAAATAGTCCTTTCATTTCATAAAGTTAATGATACAAAAGAGTTTAACATAAATAAATATCCTATCGGCTTAAACCTTTCCAAGCCTCAACTTGGTTACAACAAAAGAGAAACTAGCTCTTACAAATAAGCCCTCAGCTATACAAAAATATATAATCAAAACAAGAAGTTCGTGCTTCCAAAAGCCCCTTCTAACTATTGTCTTGGCAGAAGCGTGCCCTCAACACCTGAAAATGTCATCCCCAAATAGAGTGAGCCATAGCCCAGTAGGAATCATCTAACACGGTATATGAAACTTAGCAAAGGTATAAGTACACTATTCATATACAACGTCAATGATAGAACATCCACATTTTATATAGTCATAAGATACCAAATTCAATCCTTAATCCATTTCCATTCAATTTATTTTATTACATGAGCAAAATTCATCATTTCTCAATAACCCAAATGAGACTACAACTCATTAGTTCTATAATCATATCATCAACATATAAACACTTCAAACTTTCCTTTCACGGATATTTCGTCCGTGGGAAATCGTCAAACGGGACCTATGTAAACGTAGGCCATACAAGCACTATAATTGCCATTTTACAGATATTTTGTCCGCGGGATCGGTACCCACGTATAATTTCAGGACTTTCACCCAAGACACTCTAGCCAACTTAATTATAATGGAATTCATCCACTTTCTCCTCCCAAATAATCATTCATACATATGCAATGTATTTAAACACATAATCATAGGTGAAGCACATCTCATTTCCACTCCCAAATAATCATACATATACAATATATATAAACATAGTCATATTCAATGACAACCACAAGAAATTAGTTTCAATTTACCTAATCCGCATGTAATTTCTACAACAATCATAGCTATCCTCCACCAATAGCCCAATATAGATATATTCTAGACAGATATATAATCTCAAGACAGATAATTTATCCAAAATTTCCAAAGATTGAGATAATACATAATCACATTTTCAATGTCCATTTCAATTATTCGTACAAAATGACAATTTGGTTTCAATTAGGGCAAAAACCCCATTTTTCCCAAACATTAATTGAGTGCCAAAATTATTAAATTAGACACAATACTACATCAATCTCAAACCCCACAATCATTTATTTCACCTTTATCCAAAACTCTTCTTTTCATCTCATACCTAAACCCTAGTTTGCTTAAAACACCCTCAAACCACATCATTGTTACATAGGAGACAAATAACTAAGCTAAATATCATATGAAGGTATAGAAAAGATCCTACCGCAAAGGGAGAAGATGAGCCAAGCAAGAGTGAAACTCCAAGAACAACGAAACCCATTTCTCATCGGATCAAAATGAAGATATTAATGCACTCTACCTTTTTCTCAAAGGCACTAGGGTGAAAAGATCGACGGATCTAGATGAAATCTAAGAGAGAATGCGAGTTTTAAAGAGAGAATGTGTAGATTTAGGTTTTTGAAAAGTTTTAAAGAGAGAGGGAAATGAAAAAGTGATTCAAAATGACATTTTCACGGACTGTTATACACACAGTCCGATCGAGTGTGGAAAGTAACGCTCGAGCGACAGACACAAAGTTCCGCTCGAGCATAAGAAATTACGTTCGAGCGTAGATTACATATTTTCAGAAGTTCTGTAGACGAAGGGCCCTGCTCAAGCGCGAGATTGGACGCTCAAGCGTCCAATGCACTTCCCCAGTATTTGCAAATGTGCAAAAATACTAAGAGTTGACAAGTCCCGCTCGAGTGCAAAAATGGTTGCTCGAGCAAAGGAGAAAAATTTATGAAGCCCGTTCGAGCGCAAGAATGCCCGCTCAAGCGAAAGAGCCAAAATCTGGGCATCACGGGTTTGGAAATACAAGTAACCCACATGTTCCAAACGCACAATTACAACCCGATAACCAAAATAAAGGAGAGACAAGGGAAACAAGATATAAATAACCATTCCAAACCATACCAACCTGAGTCCGGAATACAATGAGTGACGGGCCAAAACCGAGGTAGCTATAACCTCCCCCTCTTAAAGAATTTCGTCCCCAAAATTACAAATCAAGCCCAAAAACATAATTAAACCATTCACAAGAATGTTATTCTCACAGGTTCATTACCATGACCCATTCTTCGGTCATCCATTCTCATCGACTCGATGCACAAGTCCCACATTATCATGAAATTTACAATTTCCCAAAACATTTACAATGTTTAACCAAAATTCAAATTTCTCAAAATTTTTCATAGCATATACAGCGCTTCTAAAAGTAATATAATACATATGATATTCCATATCCTCAAACATATGCAATATTTATAATAAACTCATATTTCCAAAATGTAAACAACATATACAATGTTCTCATATTCTACCAATCGTAATCACAATACAATACATGTTCAAATATCAATAAATAAGTTCAGATATTTCTCTCAGACTTCCAATTCACGCTCTCAAGTTGCTTCATCAACTCCGTGATGTTTCCACAATACTTTTACTAATCCAAAACTTTCACCGGTCTCTCCTCATACAAGGCATCCTCATCCAAGTTGGTCCAATCCAATACATACGATGGATCCGGCTCATATTTCCAAAGCATACTAATATGAAACATGTCATGAACCCTAGAAAGTTGTGGCGGTAGCGCCAAAACGGTAAGCAACCTCCTCAATCCGCTTAAGGATCTCAAAAGGACTAATAAATCGAGGGGACAACTTCTCACTCTTCCCAAATCTCATCAAACATTGTCTAGGTGATATTTTCAGAAAAACATGATCTCCCACATCAAAAGACAAGGGTCTCCTCCTACGGTCGACATAACTCTTCTGGGGACTCTGAGCCGTGACTAATCTCTTACGAATAAGTGTCACCTTCTCCGTCGTCTCCCGAACCAACTCTAGACCCAACAAAGGTGCATCACCCACCTCGACCCAACACATCGAGGATCTACACGGTCAGCCATATAAGGCCTCAAATGGCGCCATGCCAATACTCGATTGGAAACTGTTGTTATAGGCAAACTCCACTAAGGGCAAGTGCCTCTCCCACGACCCTTTAAAATTAAGCACATACCCTCGAAGCATATCCTCAAGGATCTGAATAGTACGCTCGGACTGCCCGTCAGTCTGAGGATGATACACAGTACTAAAGGTCAATCTAGTGCCCAAGGCACTCTGCAAGCTCTGCCACAATCGAGCTGTGAAACATGGATTTCTATTCGAAACGATCGTCACAGGGACCCCGTGCAACCTCACTATGTCCTTGATATACAAGTTGGCAATATGGTCTACTGAATCATTCACACGCATATGTATAAAGTGCGCGGACTTGGTCAACTGGTCAACTACCACCCAGATGGCATCACTACCCCATTGAGTCCTCGGAAGGCCCACAGCAAAATCTATTGTGACATGCTCTCACTTCCACTCAGCTATAGGCAAGGGTTACAACAAACCCGCTGGCCTCTGATGCTCGACCTTCACTTGCTGACAAGTAAGGCATTTTGATACAAACACCACCACATCCTTCTTTATACCTCTCTACCAAAACTGGCGACTAAGGTTGTGATACATTTTTGTGCCTCACGGATGCACTGCAAGGCACGAATAGTGAAACTATTGGAGTACCTCATTTCGGCAAGACTCCGGCACGAACAAACGATCACAGTATCTCACACTTTGGTAGGAATATACATTCAAGCCCCTCTCCACTTTTCCACTGGAAATATTCTCCCTTAGGGTTTATACTTCAAGGTCACTCTTCTGCACTTCTAACACTCGGTTCACAAGTGTAGGTTGGGCAACTACCGTAAACAAGACCGCAAATTCAATGGACTCACTAAAATGCAGGTCAAACTCCCCAAGAGTACCCAACATCTTTCATTCTCGAATGGCGATACAAGGCACACTACTAATTGATTTCCTATTCAAAGCATCGGCCACAATGTTGGCTTTCCCCGGATGATAATGCAACTCAAAATCATAGTCCTCTATGAATTCCATTCACCTCATCTGCCTCAAATTCAAATTTTTCTATGTAAACGAATACTTCAGACTCTTGTGATCAGAAAACACCTTAAATTTCTCACCATACAGATAATGGCTCCAAATCTTCAAGGCAAAAATTACCGTTGCCAA